CTCTGCCCCCCGTGACCCTCCATGGCTGCAGGGCACAGCCTGCCCTCTCCCCAGGGGCTGATGGGAACCTCTGCTCCAGCACAATGCCTCCCCTGCCTTCCGCACTGACCTGGGGGTCTGCCTGGGCGTCTGTCCCACACCCCACTCCTCTCTCCACTGCCGCCGGCTTGTTTTTCCCCCTCTGAAGTACGTTAATCACAGAAGCGCCAATAGGCTTGGCCCTGGCCAGAGGCGGCTCTGACCTGGAGCCAGGGGAGCTTCGAGCAGCCTCTCACAGGAGCCACCCCTGTGGCCCATTCCCCCCAACCAAAACCCACCACACAAACCCAGCACAGTGTTTGTAAAAGCCATACCCTGCATCAAGATTTAAATACATTTGGGATCTTTCCTTTTTATGCTTATGCAATCAGGGTTCTGGGAGGAGTATGTGAAGCTTGTCCTAAATTTTCTTTCTCTTCCAGTTTACTGCAGCTCCAGTGGAAGCAGGATTTAGACAAAGGGTTAGAGCTCATAAGCAAGGCCATTGAAATCGATAACAAATGTGATTTCGCATACGAAACCATGGGAACGATTGAAGTGCAAAGGTAACGTGGAATTGCTGTGTTGAATTCTTACTTAATTTGGAAAGTACAGTAATGATTTAGATTTCTTTACGAATCTTAAGTGTTTCTTAAGATCTTCTCCCCAGTGCTGGGCAAGGCCAGCTCTTGCGAGGAGTCCCAGTTCCGTTCTGTAACTCTTGGGTAAAGCCTTCCCTTCTGTATTCCGTAAATACACCTTACAGTATGACAGATGCCTGTGTTCACCAGTTTCATACTTAGTGGACAGCACGCAGATGAGTCTGTGCGTGTTTAAATACACTCCTCCTGCATTTAAAGCGACCTCCCTAATCGTTACGAGGCTCTCTGTGTATCCAGCATAGGGCTTAAACGTAACCCGGGACCGTTTGCTCTGCGGATCCTGAGCTGGGCTCTCGAGCCTGACGGTTGGGGTTTAGTTCCACCAGGACTGCAGTTGGCAGGTTCACAGGGTAAGAGGAAAGACTAAGGCACAATTCCGTAACAGTGCATCCTACGACCCCTCTGCAGGTTTTGGGCTGTAGCCGAGAGCGTAGTTGAGTCTGGTTTTGGTTTACATGTCTGGCCGTCAAAAGGCTGGGCAAAGAAGCTGTTGCCATAAAACCTTGGGAAGCCTTTCCTGTGAGGATCATGGTAGCTTTGTCTGTGCTAGCTTTCCTCTTCCGTGTACGAATGCTTTTCAAGGGAGAGTCTCCTGGTTGTCCCAGCATTGTCGCTGCGGCACACGCGGTGTCCTGCGGAGGTCACTGCGTCCCCCGCTGCCACCCCCCTGGGCTCTCGGGAGGAAGGCAGCTCAACAGCTGGCCTAGTCGCTGGGGCTTGGTACCAACTCGCGGTTTGCTCATCGTCGCAAGTTCTCATGGTGGTTCCTCCCAGAGTCCTTTGAGGCTCTCGGCAGCAGAGATCGTAAATCCTGAAGGAAAAACGATGCTGGAATGATTGCTTTGCCAGCCTTGACTGCACTACCTTTTGGTTTGTTTCAGAGGTAATCTGGACAAAGCCATTGAAATGTTCAACAAAGCTATCAACCTGGCCAAATCTGAAATGGAGATGGCCCACCTCTACTCCCTCTGCGATGCTGCCTATGCCCAGACAGAAGTGGCAAAGAAGTACGGATTGAAACCGCCAACGCTGTAAAGGAGCGAGGAGGAAATGACCTTCCAAAGTGAAGTTGCCCACTTCAGCCAGCCCTAAAGACGCTGTTGCGGACCATGTTGAATGGTGGAACTTAGTTTTTTCCCGTTCGTGGTGTTGTCTTTGCTACATCTGTTCAATGTTTAGGTGTTGTGGGAGTGGTTGTTCCAGGAAGTCCGCGGTGTCGCACCTTGTTCCTTCCGCAGCGAGAACCTCAGAGCGCGTCAAGGGTAATACAGCTGCAGGGGAACAGAAGGGAGATACTTCGGTCGTGCAAATAAAAACTTCACGCTGGTTCATTTCGGGTGATTATGTTGTGGGCGATTTTTGCTTTATCAAACGATACTACCGCATGTGGGGTTTCTTCCTGTTGATTTTAAAGGTAATACTAGTCAGTGCTGTAAAATAGGTTTCTTTTTTATATGCAGTTGATCCTCCAGGGTTGATTTTAATTTTGCAAAAAGGAAAATAATTTTCAAACTGTTTAATAATAGAGGGTTGGGGTTTTTTTTAAAGTCAGTAGATGTGGAGAGAATTCCTGTAAATACATGCAAGCATGCACAATCTTCCCTGAAAGCCCCCCCCACCCTCTGCATAATTTACTTAGAAATAGCCCTGTGGCAGCTATTAGGGAATTAACTTGGTAGCCCTCATCCTCGCCCCAGAAAGCCCCGGCGTGCCGTGCGGCAGAGCTAGCGGGAAGGTTGGCCGGGGAAGGAGGTCGGGTGACACCGCTTGAGCGCAGCAGTCCTTCCTCGAATGTCACAGGAAATTGTTCTGCAGGGTTCAGAGGCACTCTGAAGAACAGACAGCAGTGCTGGGCGTAGAGCTGCCAAGGTAAGGTCGTGCTTGCATACAGGCTTTGTCGTCTCCCGCTTAACCCCAACAGCTAACAGACTGTCCGAATTCTCTTCAGTCTCCGGAGGCTGCTGCTGCCGGTCTGCTCCGTGCAATAGCCCCTGGGCAGGGATTAAGTGAGAAGGAGCAAAGCATAGGCTACACCTTCAGGTAATGGATTTAGAATCTGTACTGGTCTCCCTGTTCTTTAGACCCTTCTTGTCTGAGATGAGAAATGCTGTAGGAAGGAAGCAGCTGCTCCGTAAATAGCGGGTTGGTGAATTATTAAATACCGGTACGAGCCGTACCCTCTGGCTAGGGACGTCGGAGAGGGCTCTTGCTTTGGATTGATCTTTCTGGTATGGGAGCCAGTCCATCCTGACTGGCCCTGGATTGATGTGGCTGGATAAACCTCACGCAAATGCGTAACTGATGCCGCTTAATTTCAGATACGCTAGTTTGGGCTCCTTCCCCTCTGAAATCACAGCTCTGCTTGTGCTGAACTGTCTGAGGTGTTTCATCCCCTAAAGAAAGGAACGGCGCTGGGCTCAAGCTGTCTGTTCTCCAGTTGTGTCCCTGTACAGCCGCAGCTTGTCCTTCCTTTCCCAGCAGCTGCGAACGGAGGGGGTGGAGAGTAGGCTGAAGGTGTAGTGGCTGTGTTGTAGCTAGCTTGGTAGGTGGGCTGAAATCGGTGCTGGTGTGGCGTCGAAGGCCTCGAACGCGGTGGCAGCCTCCGAGGGTGGTGCGCATAACCAGCATCGGACGCCTTCTGGCACTTCCCGTCTCTGCGTCCGCTACCCGAGAACAACTCCATGCCAGGCTGACTGCTGCGGCCAGTTCTCCGGAGGAGTTTTTATTCGCATGGCCTTACTCACGTTGGCGTTTTCCCCTCCACCCCACCTGTGCCCCATTCCCCAGCCAGTTAAGGGAAAACCGCATGTGCTCTCAAAGACCAGCATTCCAAACCATCACAGACGTTTGCCTGTCCGGGAACTAGCCGGGAACTGCACTGAAAGGATGCATTGTCTGTAATTTTTTTGTAAATGACGTATCACCTGTAAACTGAAAAAATAAATACTACCTTCGAGTACCTCTCTCTGCCATGTATAAGGACAGGTTTTGCTGAGAGCGTTCTCGCCAGCGCTGCGCTCTGGGCCGAGCCGAGGTGGCACTAAGGACCGACCCCCTGTCATCTGCTCTCACTTGAACCTTTTAAGAAAAAATGAGGAGGAGCCGTGGAATTCACAAGTCTTATCTCCGATGGCGTCCATCGCCCACAGAGGTATGACCTCGAGAGCTAAGATTGCAGGGGGAAGGAAATCCAGCCAGGGAAGCTGGGAGTCTGAGTAGCTGACAGCCTGCTGCGTGCCTGCAGGTGGGTCCCTTCAGTGAAAGGGGTTTATAGTAATTTTGAAGTGGCTGATACAGTGGAGGTTTTGCTTCAAGCCGGGTATGCGTGTGAGCTTTGAGAGAAGCGTTCTTTGCTAGGGAGCAGGAGCTGAAGTGAAACAAGCGTTATTGCTACTTAAAAATCTCTTTAAATAACGTAGGAAACTAGTACTGAAGGCTGGGATAAACCTGGCTTCTCCCTGGGACTCTGGGAAGTTGCTTCTGCGCACAGTGGCCTTGTGTCTGACCTGGGATCATGTGAAACCCCCGTTGTTCGTGCTAGAGGCGAGTTTGCCCCAAGGGAGGTGAGAAGCTGTCACTTGAGTTACTGGGACCTACCCGCCGGAGCTGTGCTGTAACTTAACTCTGGAACTGCCAGGAGCAGCTCTGATGCAGCTTTAGGCAGCTTCCCAGAGAATCGGGAGATTCTCGGAGAATCCTGGTGTGTATGTGTAGTACGGATACTTAAAGTGCCCATTGGCTACCAACACGGAGACAGAGTACTGACTGCTTGAAGTATTACTTAGCTGAGAACTGATTGTGTACTTTTTTCACTGAAACCCCCCAAAAATCCAGTCCCATTGGTATTGCTTCTGCGCGGATCCCCCTGGAGACCCCCAAAACCACCTACTGTAGCAAGGTGCTTAGAGGCTGTCCTGACAGACTGGAGGGGGCTGAGCTCACCCAAGTGGCTCGCTACAGATCTGTTCTCCATTTGGGATTCCAGGGCCACGGATTCAGTTGTCTGTTGCAGGTTGCACTCGGCATTTCTGCAGCTGTCAGCAGGTGAGAACCCTGCAGTGCTTGAATCCCCCACAGGCAGTCCCTAGTTCCTGCCCTGCTGCGTGTCACAGTAGCGGAGGGGAGGGGAAGGCAGGCAGAACGCTTTAGGGAAACTGATGTCTCGTAGTTGCGGTGACGTAGAATTTGGAGCCCAGCAACAGCCAGGGGGGATGCTGGCTACTGAGCATGGGGGAGGCACTAATCGAATGCAGGAGCCTGGGATCAGGTGGTAAACTGTGACTCCTTTTATATTTATTTTTCAAGAAATAAATCTCCATTTCACCCGATGCTCTGTGGCCTCTTTCCTAAGAGCGTTGTAGTACCCCCTGTATGTCAAATCCCAGCAAAAAGTGCAGTCCAAACCGGCTGCTGGAGCAGGTAACGCCACCGCGTGGAACGGCGTGGCCTGCCTTTTGAGGGGAAGATGCCTCAGGCTTGGCCTTATTTCACCATTAGTTTTCCTCTATAAACATGTAGCCTGTTCCAGAGAAGCCAAAGGAACAGGCAACACAAAACAGCAGCTGTGGGAAGAGCAGGGGGGCTGAACAGGAATGAAAAGGTGGTTTGGGGCAGAAGTGGTGGTTAGCTAGAGCAGGACTCTCCCTCCTCCCATTCTTGCATTTTGAAATCTCTTTCAGCCTTACTGCTGTATCACTTTTGCTGCTGGAAAACTAGAAGCGGGGTGGTAAAGGCTGGATAGAGGTGCTGCCTTTTTTTTTTTTTTTCCAAGAGGGGGAAAAAAAAAAAAAAAGGACTATTTGCAAATTGTTCTCTCTCTGCATTAGAAGCATTGAGGTGTCTTCCATGCAAGAAAAGGAAAAACCCAACGGAGCTGTACAGTGGTCGGCTGGTTTGTGTATTTTAAAGCCATCTTTAAGAGCTCGAGTCCCTTCAGCAAGACCAAGGAGCTAAGGAGCCACGTTTCCCAGGCAGCTGATGGGAGTTGGCCTGTGGCAGCAGTAACACTGCAGCACTGAGCAGTTGTCTCTGCCCTCAGGAAGGCCGTGGGCAGTGAGGCTGTGTCCATGCACCGCCCTGCTCCCAGCCCTGCTCCCGGGCTCCCCTCGGCCTTCCCAGGCGCAGGCTGCAGGGCAGCAGAACTACGGCCCACTCAGGCGTTGTACATGGAGCACTGGCGTGGCAAGACGTGAACTGCTCCAACAGTAACTCGCATCGCTCCAGCAACGAACGGGTGTGGCAACAAGAAGAATCTCATACGCGTATTCCAGCCGCACGCGCGAACCGAAGCCTGTTGCAGGTTGTTCTGCAGCAGCAGTTCTGTCTGGCAGGTTCCTGCACTGTCCCCATGGCGTGCAGAGCAGAGTTTTGCTCAGTGTGTTAGAGGTTAAGCTTCCCAGATTAGAAGCTGGGCATTCAAGGAACTTCCTTGAGGCACGTACAACTAAGAAGGGCGGAAGGTGGAAGAATCCTACTTCCAGGTGACCTGACAGTTCCCTGAGAAATCTGTAATACCAAACCTGGCTTCAGTGGCTTTCCAGAGGACGAGGCTCCCTTTTCCATGTTATACAAAAAGGCCCCCGAAAGGTGACGAAAGCAGCGAGTGACAAGTAAAAAGCACCGTTAACTACTACGGTGTCGAACTGCTTTTGCCTCCGTCCATCCCGGCTGTAAAACACTGAAGCGTGAGAGGAGATAGAAAAGTTGTATTTGAATCAATTTTAGAATAACACTACCTACTTCTTGTTTAGGTTTTTTTTAAGAAACAGGCACATTTAGCAGTAGATTGTGGAGGATCCAGTACGGGAATCCTTCCGAAGGTGAAAGCAGCAGCCGTGGTGCTGACAGGTCCTTCCCCATTCAGCCAGCTTCACTCTTTCACCTCCACGCCGTAGAGATCGCAACGCTTCTGGCTTAAAATAGGAATCTGTTGACGGATTTCTGAGAGTTTCTTCAGATCTGTGGAGGGGAAGAAAGCTGTTGGAACAGCAGCCAACACTGACAGCTCCTGGACTTGTTCTGAGGTAAGGCTGGGAATATGCAGCTTTCACGGAGAACGGGTGAAGCTTGCCTAAGGTGGCAGCTTCCTGGCATGGGAAACTGGGAGAGCAGTCACATGTTGCTTGTTTTCACTTTGATCGAGCAAGGGTGGCGAAGGGATGGGAACCTCTGCGAGCCCACAGACAAAAACCTGTCTCCCTGGAGTCTCGTGGCCCGTGCTCAAGAACGCAAGCAGGAACACCCCGCTCTGCCCTTACCTATGTCGGTGTAGAGAACGGTTTCCTCAGCCCCAGCTTTGGCTATGACTTCACCCCTGCAAGGTTAAG